TAGATAGATAGATAGATAGATAGATAGATAGATAGATAGATAGATAGATAGATAGATAGATAGATAGATAGATAGATAGATAGATAGATAGATAGATAGATAGATAGATAGATAGATAGATAGATAGATAGATAGATAGATAGATAGATAGATAGATAGATAGATAGATAGATAGATAGATAGATAGATAGATAGATAGATGAGAGGCCAGAAGCGCTTACCCTACGAAAAAAAACTCTTAAAAGTCCAAGCCACAAAGATTTCTCAGTATAGGAAAAACAGCCTCTGACCAATAACCCAAGACAACATACGTTACCAACCAGCCAACGAAAATCACATTATACGAGAAAAATGCTTCGTAGTGTAAGCTATAGATAATTTTTGTTGGCTATGCCGTCATGAACAATGGTCGCAACAAACATCGAGTTCGTTATGAGGGCATTGTTTATTCTCTCAATACTATGTCTGTCTCGTCGGGTAGATGTCCGACCACTATTCGTGGGACCATGGTCACAAGAAAACTTGTACTAAAGAATATTTTATAGGCGCAATTTAGAGACAAGACGTATGCTGCTAATGTAATTACTAAGGATAACAGTTCATAGTAACAATTGTTTACTAACTAGAGAGCCTTTGTGAGGTCGACCCCATTTTAGTCACTGTGTCCATTTGTGTTTGCATAGCTCATTTTGAAATAAACGGCGCTGTTGTCGCACTCGCTGAGTTCTCCATTGTAAAGAACTGCCGGTCATGCTATATTCAAAATTTGTGACCTGTGCATCACATAGTGACCCGAATCTATTCTCACAAACCACATGTTTAGAAGTGCGTCGTCAACGCAATTCCAAGCACCTCATACCGAATTTTTAAAGACGAAATCCTTAAAAGGCTGGCTTTGAAAAACACCGTTTACGGTACAAACCCACATGATCTTAATAACAAACGTACTAAATATCGCAGAATCAAACCGAGGTATTCGCGACAGTCAAGTATTTTTACACTTAGCCACGGCAGTTCTTGAACCCGCTGACGCCAGCAGATATAACATTGTGGGGCCTTGACAACGCGACATGCGGCACAAAAGCCCACGTGACCTCTGAAGCTCCTACAATGATGATTATGGCGATTATAATAATGATGGCCTTCGCCTTCATGTCACCTTAGTTGAATGCCTAAAGAACCAGTGAGCTTTTTTCTCAGCACCCATAGTTAACATATTGACACTCATTAATGCTACGCTCACTCTTTCCCTAATTATGCGTTCGCCGTGACGGTTTATCGAACTAAAGCGCATTAAGTGCTTTGTATGTACCAGACCCTCATGAAGCCGGATTCAATCAGCTGTGCTTTTCACACGCAGTTTCTTGACGCCCACGAACAAAGGCGCTCCATTTAGTTTGAAGCGTCGTATGAGGAAGGTAAAAAAAAACTAAATACCCGAATAAGCAACAAGAACTAAATGCAGCTTCCAAGTCATTGATCATTATGAAACTTTACATACCAAAACCGCAATATTATTGCGAGGAATGAAGTCGTGGAAAAAGCTCTATTACCTTTTACAACCTGGGATTCTGTAAGTAACACATGCAGCATATAAATATGTTGGTGTACTTGCATATAGCTTCGTAGAAATGTAGTCGCGTTTGTCTGAAACTGAGCCCAGATCCTCGGCGCAATTCTTTATACCTGGTCGATTCCACGAAAGATAAAAAATGTTGTATACTTGATATTTTTTATTTTTCTCATACTTTTGTATATTATGCTCATATCGCTGAATAGCGCGAAATCACCTTTTGTTTTCCAATAAATTTTTTTGAACTAAAGAAGTATCGAGAAGCATCACCGGGTGACGATGGCCATTTCGCAAAAAGTTCGTTTTCTTAAATTCGCGATCATGCTAACAGCCACTCAAGGTATATAACAAATATGTCCCTGTGTAGCTTAAACTTAAGTAATGCAGAAATAGCTCAATTTATCTTCTCTAATTTTGGTAACCTAAGTGTTTTTGAAAATTCCAAAAAAATGCTGTCGATTTGAAACTCGCTCGTTTTAGGGGAATGATTTTAGCTACTGTGATCGTCATAGCTTATTAATATTTTCAGTGCTAATAAACCCCCATGTGGATAATCATCCCCTGCCATTTCATTTCATTGATTTGTGGGGTTTAACGTCCCAAAACCACCATATGATAATCAGAGACGCCGTAGTGGACGGCTCCGGAAATTTAGACTACGTGAGGTTCTTTAACATGCACCCAAATCTGAGTACACGGGCCTACAACACCTCGGCCTCCATCAGAAACGCAGCCGCCGCAGCCGGGATTCGATCCCGCGACCGGTGGGCCAGCAGCCGAGTACCTTAATCACTAGACCACCGTGGCGGGCCAATGCAATTTTATTTGCCGAGTAATTTTTGAAGTACTGAGTTTTGTTGCTCGAAATATAAAAGAAGTATTGGTGAATTCAGAGACCTACGATTGAAAACCTTGCTCTCAATTTTGCTCAAAATTACTTAAATTGTTTTCAGAGGACTTCAGTATTGTATTCTGGAAAAACATGTTGCATCATTTTGATCAAAACGACCTTACAAATTTTCAAACATAGCATATTTCAGGGTGTGATAGCTACCATGCACGTAAATGATATTTCTTCGGGCAAGAAAATGTAATAACGCGCTTTTTTTTCTGCTCTGATATTGTGAAATAACAGCAATGGGGTATTTCGCGTGAGTATATAAAAAGGGCTCTTTAAAAAAGCAGGAACTATCACTTAAATGTAATGCATTTAAGTATATACTGCTTAACGGTTGTGCACAAGAAAATCGAGCACAAGAAGAAGCAACACATACACGAGCACAACAAACAACTCTTGCATGGCTACTTTATATCCTCTTATTTTTTGCGCAAACTTGTTAAAATGAAAGTTTTCCAACTAGGCCGCTGTACAGTTTTGTTTCTGGGCATTTTAGTTTGCGACATCATTGCAGTGTTCGTAGACGTGCAGCAGGCATCTTATCATGTCTATGTATTTGCCTTCGGCTGTGGCGGCTGCTTTTCCGATGTAGGCGGAAATGTTGTAGGCCCGTGTACTCAGATTTGGGTGCACGTTAAAGAACCCCAGGCGGTCAAAATTTCCGGAGCCCTCCACTACGGCGTCTCTCATAATCAAATAGTAGTTTTGGGACGTTAAACCCCACAAATCAATCAAATCAATCATGTATTTGCCCTTTTTTTCAGTGAACGTGCTATTAAAAAAAACGATGAAGCTTCACAAAAACCGTTTAGGTTAGGATTACCTTCTGCCACTGTCAATCCACAAACGGTGACAGTGCCGACCCAGGAGTACCGCCACGCAACCTGAGGACCATATACCCCAACATGCTTCGCCTGGAATTGCCACTGTGCAGTACAGAATGCTTGCATATAGGTTGCGTAGGTGACATCATAGATTTTTCCATGCACATCGAAGCTCGACCTGGTCTCTGTAGTGGATGCGCACAGTGTGTATATGGATCGCGTGGGGGATCGAGTAGCCGCGCTCCACGCCTCGCTGTAACTAAAGTAGCGTGCATCATGCGAGCGCGCGCGACGCACGGTGGTTTAATACGGTGAACAATTGAAGTGATTTTGTGATTACAAAGCAAGTCCAAGAAAACTGATATAATCAGTGGACCTACCTGCGAGATCGAGTGCTCCCAGAAATAAAAAAGTAAGTAATGAAAACTTTTTTACTCCCGTGAAGGGCATTCTGTCATGGTATGTTTGCCAATAGAAATCAAGTGAGATTCACAAAATTATGCTTCGTCCGCTGCCAGGACTACTGCCACTGAGACGTACGTGCTTGACGCGTTTTCAACACTGCTGATGGTATATGGTATAAAAACGTGCAATTTTGTGCCAGTAAAACTCAACCTCTTCACGGCTGCTTTCCATAGAAGCTGGTTCCCTTTCCTGATTAGACCTCGTCTTTTACACCAACCTTTTCGATTCTAGGATAACATGGCGTATGATAAAAAAACGCATTGAGAAAGTCCGCTGATTAGCATTCAAGATACGTATTCCGTCTAGCCGAGCAAAATGAAGAAAAAGAGGGCACAACTGGAGGGGCTTCCTTTGAACTGAGTGATTAAAAACGACAAGCGAAGTCGTGAACTACTGAAATGTATTTTATTTAGGTGCTTAGTCCTTGATTTTTTTTTCCTCTTGAAGAAAACTGCTTACTCTCTCAAAATACCTAATTACTATTATTTCACAAAATCAGGGAAGAAAAAAAGCAAGTCATTAAATTTCATTTCCCCAATAGATGTAATTTACGTGATAGCGGACACTCTGAAGACGTCATGCTTGAAATTTTGTTAGTTTGTTTTGATCAAAATAATGCAACATGTTTTTTTCCAGAATGTCATAATGAAGTCCTCTGAGAACAATTTCTATAGTTTTGAAAAAAAAATTGAGACCGGGAATTTTCATTATAGATATTTAAAATTGTCAATAGTTTGTTTTTTATGCTTGAGCAACAAAACTGTTTCTTTAAAAAAATACTTGACAAATAGAAATCCAAGAGATCATTATTCTCATAAAGGTCTATTAGTGCTTCAAATATTAACAAGCTATGACGTTCACAGGAGCACCTTTTGCACCCCAGCAAGAAGTGAGTTTTAAAAAAAATTGCATTTTTGGAAAATTTTTGAAATTCTCATGTTGCCCAGAATTAGAGGATATGAAGTGAGCTATTTTTTCATTACTTCTATTTGGGAGTCGCAGAAAGATATTTGTGGAATATAGCTTGCGTCGCTGTTGGCATGATCGCGCATTTACAAAAACACACTTTTCGTGAAATAGCCATCGTCACCCGACCATGCTTCTCGATTTTTCTTTGCTTCATAGAACAATTTTTTATTTCAAACAAAACGGGATGAGGTGTCATTTGCTCATGCGGACATAGTTTTAGAAAACGAGTAAAATCTAAGATACCAAGTATACCACGTTTTATTATCTTTCCAGGAATCGACCACCTTCCATTATGATATGACGAACCAGAAGACGAAATCACGTACCTTTTTAGTTTGTTTCTTTTGTGTACGTTCTTTAATTTGTTTGTTTGTTTGTTTGTTTGTTTGTTTGTTTGTTTGTTTGTTTGTTTGTTTGTATACAATCACCTTTGTCATTGGTCAGCCAGCATTTCTAAAAGTAATATTGATTATGATGTACGACCACGTATTCACGATTCGCTACCAATGGCTTTTACAAATAGATTTAGCTTAAAACGTGTTAGTGAATACTGGCCAAGATGTCATGGTTTCGCTCCCCAAAGATTATTCTTTTTTCGCAAATGCAGTACGCGATAACCAGCCACTTTTTGTAATATAATCTACAGCTTCACCATTGCCTAGACTTTGCTTTTGCGAAAGATGATATATGAGAATATTTTTTACCTGAGATGGTATTGATGCTGTAACATGACACCTTTTTTATCTCCAGTGTGCGTTCAAATTTATATTGGTGGCCATGTCAGGGCGGTCTACAGAGAGAATCAGCATCTGTATACGTAGTCTCCACCAAATACCACACATGGTTGTACATCCACCATGGGTTACAGCGGCGCTTTCTTATACACGAGCTACCACACGCATGCGCCTGTGTTGGTTGTTGCATAAAACCAGTGGGCCTTTTTTTTTTATGCGAAGCAGCTCTTTGACTAGCCAGTGTACCGCTGTCCGTCCGTGTCTCTGTGCCAACGCACCGTACCGCACTCCCCTCGTAGTCACGTCTTCCCTCGCAGTGCATGGTGACGTCACTTGTTTTCTCGCCAGCCGTGCACTCGCTGCGTGTCACCTCTCTCTCGCTTCACCCTCTCCACCACTCGCAACGTTTGAGCGGACATCGAGGGAACAATCTTTCGACTCATTTATCTGAGATAGATGGGAAGCCGGAAAGCGAAGCTCCTTCGTCTGCCGAAACATGCGCCGGAGCGATTTGGCCTAACCTAGCCATTGCCGGCGTTGCGAGGGTTAGCAGAGCTGCTCTCGTTCGCGAATGGCGATGTTGCGCCTGCAACACCAACGATAGGGTGGCCTACCAAGGAGGCGTGAGCCAGGCAAGCCGAACGCAAGCATCGGCAGTCAAAGACCAACGCCGATCCCGTTCGTGCGCAACGCTGCTGCTTCGCATCCCATCAGGGTTTCCTTTAAGAAGATGTCGTTAAGTTTTTTTTTTTTTATTTTGATTGTCTAATTTTAGAGGCCTAACAAAGCGCGGTGTCATGAATACACGTAAAAGTTTTCTTCAGGTAGGAGGTCTATAAGAGGGCATGGTGAAATGGTCTAAAAATTATATATAACGCCGTCAGCAACTACAGCTTCAATCGCGCAAACTCATTTTCATCAAGACCATTAATATTCGCTAGCAAAACCTTCATGACCATTTGTAGTTACCCTTAGTTTGTTATTACCCGTTGCTGTGGACCCATATTTTTAACGTTGCTACTTGGTGTTTCACTGCGGTGCCGTGACTACATCTGCATTTCCGGGTCCCATATTTTATTTATTTATTTATTTATTTATTTATTTATTTATTTATTTATTTATTTATTGTACCCTCAGGGCCCGAGAACATTACAGAGGGGAGTGGAGATATACATAAATGAAGCAATGTAAAACAGCAAGTAAAAAAAGGCAATGGCATTGAGTTCGTTGTAAATCTTGACTTCTTTTTCATTTTCCCACAGCTCTAGCCTTGTGGAACGGTTCCAGCATATGGTGACAAAAAAGCATCGGCAGTGCCTTCACAGCTGTGGCGTAACCCATTATGCATAGCAAGGCTGCGATCATATAGTTCAAGGCTTCGCAGATCAGGTCGAGGGATCAGCGTCGCATGACAAAGAAGGTACAGATGTATGTTTAAAAGTTGGGTGTATTACAAAACAATTCAACACAATACAACTCAGAAATTTCTGTCCATTTATTTCTCCATGTTTTTTGCACTCCATTTTCTTACAGCTTGTTTAATGCTGACGAATTTCAACCTGTGAATATTTATGGCGTCTGGTATCCCTCAGAATGACTTTTCACATACATGAAGTGAGCAAATTCGACAAATCTCAATTTGTATATATCTATATATCTTCTTTTTTTTCGGTAATTTTATAGTGTGTGTTAGTGGGAGTAAAAGAACCATGAAATTTTCTCGGCCCAGGTTCGATCGATCGGTGCCTGCGCGCCGCTGGCGTTTTATGGCCGCGAGGCAGTCAGCGTGCCTCGGCAAATCCAAGACGGTCGTTTTCACGGTTGAACACGGTGAAATAGCGGCCAAGGAACGGATCGCCCAGGTTCCAGAGTGGCCCGCGGCCGCCACCGAAGTCGTAACCCTTTATGTAGACCACGCATGAGACCCTGTCGTAGCGTGTCACCTGCAAGTGGGTGAGGCAAAGCGTTTCTCGGTTCCCTGCTATATAAGCTTGATAGCGTCACTTTGCGATGTCTTTCACAACCTAATCCGAGCTTTCGCCAGTACAGCATTTTATCGCGAGCGGTTTGTCTTCTTACCGTCCACCTTTACAGTATACGTGCAGCAGTGATTTGTACTTTGACGTCAATGTCGCAACATTTCTTGGAGAATCGTCTTCGTGACTTTTTTATTATGTCTTTGCCGGCAACGAGCGTGGTATTTCTGTATGTGTTGTGCCATCGTATTTACAGCAAATACTCTGACTGTTCATTTACATATAATTAGCTCAAGGCTAATCATCATAAAAATTCAGGCAACAGTCTTTAACCGTGGCGTATCCAGAGGAGAAGGGGGATTTTCAGTGTTGAATGCGCATATATACACACACACACACACACACACACACACACACACACACACACACACACTCTCAAGAAAACGCACGCACAAACATAAAAAAGTCTGTTCTTCGAAAAAAATATTTTTTACCTACGCTACTAGTTTCCAAGTAACGCTCTTCTGTGCGAAGTATCAATACCGAGTTTTGAGCAATTCGAGGCTTTTGTTCCAGTTTTAATCAAGGCCGTATTGCTAGGCGAGTGAAACAGAAGCATTTACCTTGACTATGTAGTCCTCTGCCTTCAAAACCAGAGGTGTGCCTCCAATATTTATTGTAAAATCGGGCAGAAGGCTTGTGTTTGTGCAGTCAACCTGGTACTAAAGAAGCAAAAATAATCATCATCAGAATTCATATCACGATGCAGACAATAATGTTTGTCTACCAATTGCAATGTTAGGCATATAGTGTTCTCTTTTCAGAATTCGTGTCCTTTAATGAGCCGGCTATACAATGATGACAGTGACAAATAAACCATATTGCTCCATTATTAAATGCGAAGCCTTTCTTAGTGAACTCCGGTGACTTTGAGCGTATCAATTTATCTATCTAGCCGCTTACGTTTGGGTGCTCTCGTAGTAACCCCCTTAACTTGGCGTGAATAAAAATTAGCATGGGAGGGTATGATGGTTTGACGAATATGACGCGCTGGTCAGTACATGAATAATGTCACAATCCTGTCCCGTGCGTCATTAAACACTTTCCGCCAGGCAGTGGCACATACCCACGGGCGGGTATGTGCCGCTGGTATGCGGGTATGTGCCACGGGTGATTAACACTTTTCATCTGCCCAGGAACGACAAGAACATGCGAGCGCTAAGAAATACCTGACATTGGTAGCGTCGACCCAACGAACGCAAAGAATAAATGTCAGGGTCCCAGCTGGAATCGAACCCAAGCATTTTGCATGGCAGTGAAGCATTTTACCACATAGCTGTACCAGGTCTCGTAACTACGTGTCAAATAGACACTTATCTTCGTGAAACACTAATAGTGGTTGCAGTGCTGCCTACCCAATTTTATAAACATTATATATGTACACGTTTAATGCAGCCATCACGGCGAGTTAACATCAATGGACCTCTTTCATGGGCGCCATCTGCGCATGCGCACCGGGAACGCTTCAACAGCGCCTCCCGGAAACGTTTTTGGTGGCTCGTGGCCTTCGAAACCTGTCGGCGCATCATCTGAAGGCAATGGGTGCAAAGAAATGCACAAGCTTCCACGCTGTCGCGTCGACCGGAAAGCCACCAAATTTGCTTTTGGCTCTCGCCGCTAAGGGCGCTGTACCTGTCGTGAAAAGGGTAGGTGCCATGCCCTGAAGTTGAGTTATGTAGCGGTGTCTAGGGCCAGCATCTTTGTGGGCATCAGCACATCATATCAGCTCCTGGTGTTGCTAATACGCATGTCCCAGTTGTCAAAGTTGCGCAAGTGCACACAACTGGTTATGTAAACATCTGCAACACTTCAACATATGTATGTGCGTGCAACTTTTGTACATATATTTAGCGTCATTTCATGACGTGTCGCTCAATAAAAAAATTGCAACACGGTGACCTCCTCTCGGCATGCTTCGTATAACGTCGATTCCCAGGTACGCGGGATCTGCCGAAATTTTTTTCACAGGATACCCGTAAAGGTTGAATTGAGGACTATTATCCTGCCCTTTCTTGCTCATTTCAGTATGTGATACTAAACTTGTAAACTTGACAATTTGCAGAATTTGCCACTTTCTCTGAGGGGCTACGGCTCTTCAATTTCGTAGCCGGAAAACATCTCTCTCTCTCTCTCTCTCTCTCTCTCTCTATATATATATATATATATATATATATATATATATATATATATATATATATATAATATATATATATATATATATATATATAGTATATATATATATATATAATTATATATCTTGTTTGCTTACTATCTGTCACAATGACATCTGCTAGGAAAATTTAATTACGATTGATGAGCACCGCGTACCAGATCTCTCATGTAAGGCGTCGCACCTAGAATCTTCATTAGTCGACTGACGTCAGCCGAAGGCCCGGTGATGGTCGAGCAGCCCGTATCAACCATGACTTGACAGCCTCCGGAGCAGAAAGTATTGTCACCAACAGATATGCTGTTCAAAAAAGACAGAAATTGAAAATGGGTTTTGATCCTAATACCTATTTGAAAGGCAGTGATTTAAGCATCATTAAAGCCAGGTGGTATTCTAAGCAGCTAAGCCTTGTTTAAATATCAAATGTGTGGTCTGCATCCCTTTATTTGCATGAAGCATTATAGCAAATCTCAATGTGTAAAGATTTTTTTTTTTTCAGAACCGGCTTCTGAATATTTCTCCTGCATCTGTGCTCCAATCCACTTAACTATTTTGGCTGGTTTAAAATAATTGTGCTTAGCATTAGGGTAAAAACATTGCTGGTTTAAAAGCATCGTTCGCTAAAGTTTGAACTCAAAGTAATGGTGAAAAAACAATGTGTTGCAGATTCCAATATCTGCGTGCTGCGGAAAGCTTTCGCGAATGGTAAAAGCCCTGCAAACCAGATGACAGAAAGAAACGCAAGAAACATTCGACGCTTATTGTGTGTGGGTGTGTGCGTGTGTGTGCGTGCGCGCGCGCGTGTGTGTGTGTGTGTGTGTGTGTGTGTGTGTGTGTGTGTGTGTGTGTGTGTGTGTGTGTGTGGTGTGTGTGTGTGTGTGTGTGTGTGTGTGTGTGTGTGTGTGTGTGTGTGTGTGTGTGTGTGTGTGTGTGTGTGTGTGTGTGTGTGTGTGTGTGTGTGTGTGATCTTGGCGTAGGTATACATGGTGAAACTAATGCTCAAAAGAGGAGAACATCTCTGTTATGTCGTCTTGTTGTAATGTATGGAAGTTTAATTTTGATGTATCCCATACGGATATTTTGATGTACAAGTTTCATAATCCTCTTATAAAAAAGAAAAATAACTTCAAAAGAAAGCAGTTTTTTTGTGGCTGTCGGTTAGCAAATAAATAAATTCCGTGTTTCAAACAACCTCCACCATACAGTATTACGTGGTCAACGTGAGACTCCACACTTATTCGAACTTTATCTCGGTGTCCAGCCGTTGGTCCGGTACCTGTCAGCCGAAACCTGCCAGTATCCCTTTTTGGAAACGGGAACGTAGGCTAGCTCTCCCGAGTAGTGGTCAGCGTCGATTCCTCCGAAGTACACCTCCCCACCGTCACCTGTCGCGGTGCCTCGCTTTAGGTACACAGAGAACAGGGGTCGGCTCACGACGCCCTGTGCGACCATGTTGTCAAAGACCGGCGTAGCGCCAAACACGGAATAGGCCGGGTAAGCGAGCCCCAAGATGCCATCAAACTGGGCGGCGGCAAAGGCACGGTCCTGGCTGTTATCCACCTGCACGAAGGTCTGATCTCGCACCGGGCGCTCGCCAATGGACACGACGTCGACGGCGATGCTGCCCGCTACTGGCCCGCTGCCGTATGCAAGGTTAACTCGAGTTCTGTTCCCCACATAGGTGCTTGAGAGGGATGCGTCATACCTCTGGTGCAAAGCTGTAAAGAAAAGGTAAGTTGGCCAATGAGTTGACAATGATAATGACCTTATTTTCGCATCAATACAGTGAATGATACGCAGGGGCAGGTGGAAAAAGTTGTGGTTCAGACAGCTTGACGAGGCCACTGGCCCTCTCATCGGCGCTTAACAACAGCGATGCAATAGCAATAAACCAACATAATTCAGCAATATATAATACAAGATATATATAGAAAACGAAAAATAATGTCTAAATTTACAAAATTGCTATATTTTGCAGAGACAAAAAAGCAAAAGACTGCATTATAATAACGTTGCTCGCATATAACGTTAATTATTGTAGAAATAAAAAAACAAACATACATGTGCGAAAGATTTAGAAGTGAGAGGCATCAGAAGAATGTTTTTCAAAAATTATCTGTCTTGAGTTCAAAATAACTGTGTATGGCTTTAAAAGACATTTTCTATAATTGTAGCCTTTCGCAAATATTTTGTTTATTAATCTTGGTAAGTTATTTCTGAGTGTTTGTGTTCCATATGTTGTTCGCACTGTTGGTATTTTCCAGTAT